TGCTTAAATCTCACTCCAGTCTAACTAAGCAGCAAAAATGTCTTTTTTCTGTCTCATTGATACCCATTGGTACAGTCAGTTGATGTTTCACCTACCACTGGCCATGTTCTCTAAAAATATAATCAAAGTCTGCTCCTCCGAATTCCCTGAAAACTCTGTAAACTATTAAGAAAGGCAAAGAGATTTAATGTGGAAGGTCATTACTTTGATCTTCCCTTTAAAATATATTGGCTAGATATATTGGCTAATGAATAAAATAAGTAACATTTTTAGTGCATAGTTACAGTTAAAATACCATCCTTCTTTCTTCCCTTTGSATTAATTTTACCCAGATCCACTTTGCATTAGTAGATATATGCATATTGCAGCTTTAGAATTCTGATGTTATAATTAAAATCTGTGTATTTGGTCAGGCAGGCTCAAGGCCTATTTCTTTATAGTCTGGACCTATATTCCACCCCCAGTACCATTTAACATCCCGTTGAATTCAGCAAAAGCCTAGTAACCATCCTTGGCTGGCATCACATGTGTCCTTTTTTTTTTCTTTTTTAAATTCTCACCATCCCATGTGGGAGGTTTCTTCTTTACCAGAACAAGAAAAGAATATTTTTTCAGAAGTAAGAATAGGAAATGAATATGTRAAATTGTCCTTAACCTCCATAAAGAATCATCTCCTCAAACTGAAATAATTGTGAGTCCGTATCACCCAGAGTATTTCTTCTAGAAGGTGTGGGGGAAAGAAAGAAAATCTACTTCATAGCTGGGTAGCCTGGGAAGCAAAATTGTCAGCCATAGCAAAGCTATTCCAGCTCAGAACCTCTGAAGGACACTTCTAGTATCTTTGCAGGATCTTAGCTGCCCAGTGCCTATGAAGTAAAAATTTATTTTATTTTGTTTATAAAATCCATGGKCTCTACAGTAATTAGGTTTTCAAGCCATGTTTAAATCACTGGGTTTCACCTATTGTAGTGGGAGTATGTAAAGTCCTAAAAGGCTTCTACACAGATGGCCTTAATCCCATGGGGAGAGAGCAGATTAATACCAGGGTTATTGGCATTCATGGAGTGCTTGGTCTGGCTGGCAAATGATGACATCAATCTCAGTGAAAAAAGGGATCATGCATTATTCTATATGCAAGCAGTGCTAAATTTAAACACTGGTGGGACAATAAATTTTTTTTTCAAGAAGGGTCATTAATAGGCAAGGGCCTGAACCATCAAACCTTTACTTACATGAGCAGCCTTTGCTCACAGATGTTCTCTCATTAGGAAACTGCCTTAGCAAAAAGGTCCTTATAATACAAGGAATGAGGAACTTGTGGCTGAAGGAACAACTCTYCTAATTATAAACTAAAAAAAATCGATGTACCAAAGTCCATTTGAGGGATTTGAAAGTATGTATGCTTTCTGTTTCTTAACAGTGTAAATCCAGAGAAAACTGGGAGTTATCAAGATTGTAATGAGTACAGACCTTGATGTAAAATTCAGAAACACTTAATACAATATCCTCTATCACACAGTGACCAATCCTACTTGAGCAAGAAACCTAATCCCCAGAAATGTCATGCTGTTTATACAGTATGGTTAAATTCACAAAAACTAATGACCAATTTATTCTTGAAAGAGGGCACTCTTGAAGATAGCATGTCCTTTATTTTCATCCCAGACAWCGTAAGGGGTTTTTATGACCTCATTACCTATTTTTTTATCTTTATATTCAAATACAGTTATAACAATTAATCAGAACAAAGGAATAATGTGCAACAAAAACAGATTTTTTTCTACCTGATTTCTGAACCTTCCTGTGTTCTGATCATAGGTAGCTGAATCCGTTAGTTTGGCTGGCAGCCAGTATGAGCCAGAATGCCAAGGTATGTGTAATCACAGCAGAGTTTTTTCCCTTTTAGTTCAAAATGCTTCTCTTCTGACTTGCTCATTAAACACTGTAAAATTAATTGCCAGAAAGCACAAGAACAACCTCTGCTTTTCATTTATTTTAGCTAAGGCATAAATACTGCAAAATTGTACATGAAACCACCMAAAAGGCACTGAGACAGTAGGGAAGGAGTTAAACGTTTGCTGAGGTCTCTACCATTGTTCATTCCCTGAACCCATTTTTCACTCTCTATGGTTTAGGAGAAACCTTATTCTTGGAATAATTGCCATACTAATACACAAGACACATTTCCACTGTTTTCTAATCCTAAAAGTAAGGTATAATATGAGTAACCAATGGTGAAGGACAACAGATAAAATTAATACACAAAGGATTTTAAATTTATTTAAGATAATTTAACTTTCAGTAGCTTCGTGTTGCCTCTCCCAACAAGTTAAATCTGAAGACATAGTCATATAGTCACATATTCTAGAGGAATGAATAAGTAATCCTAGCTATCCACATTTGCAATAAACACATCTCAAGTTAGTAAATTCTTTGCTTTTGAACTTTATTTAGTCCACAGTTTGGTTATTTCTGCCATAAACAGGGCTTACATTCTAAGGTATCTTCATACCTATATGTCTGCTAATGTTGTTTTCTGTGCAAAAGGCCATTCTTATGGTGCTCGTTTTTTTAAAAAATAAAGTATTTCTAATCATCTGGTAATTTCTAAATGGTAGTCTCAGATCAACTGCTGCAACTTCACGAACTCACACATGCTGTTGGGATTAAATAGTATCCTTTCCCCACTTTCAGTTTAGGCTAAAGGATCCAGTGCAGCTTGGTCAGGGAGAAGAGTGTTGCTGGTTATCCCTTGGTTGCTTCTGGTAGGGATCAGGAGCATTCTCCAGTGGCACATGATGAATGGTTCCCATACCCCTCACCCTGTTCTGAAGCCCCCATTCAGCTGCTGCTTTACAGATAATTGCGGGAAGAAAGGGGAAATGGCCTGATGATTGATGGCCTGTTTCAGCCTGTGGCGGTTGTTTTCTTCTCTAAGGCAGTGAGTACAGAGCACTCATTAATGAACACCTCCAACGTTCACGTTGGAACAAGGTAAGGAGGAAGAAAAGAGTGCAGGCAGAATGCCAGTGAGGCTATGGAGATGTGTGTGTGTGTGAGAGGGGTTGTACATGTCTACAAGGAATGCTGGGCTGAGAATCATTGAATCATAGAATAATTTGGATTGGAAGGGACTTTTAACATCACCTAGTCCAACCCCACTCCAYGGGTAGGTGTGTTTCAGGCAATGGCACCTGGAGAGCAGTGGGCAAATAGGCGAGGGCTTGTTTCTCAGTTCTGGACTGCTTCCCTCTCTGTGTAACATCCCTCCAGCATCAGGCTGTATTGTTCTGGAGAGGGGAAGGAGTCACGGGAGCCCCTATTCCATTAAGTTGGAGTCCCTTTGCAAATGACTGGGACTGTCCCAACCATCTTGAACATAGTTGATCCCGTGCAGTGTAAATCTTTCTCCAGAACAATCACAGAGTTGTGTCTGGCCAAATTTCACAAGCTGTGGTGCATTTACTTATCAGAGACAAAAACAGTACAGAAGAAATCTGCCTTGAAACCACAAAACACTTCAAAATTCAGCTTGTCACCTCATGTCCACCTCTATGAAGGGTTCTTGGCTATCAGGGTCAGCACAATGGATCTTTGTTCTTGACTGAAGATTTTTCTAAGTCACGTCACAACTCATCCTGTACAGATTTTCCTCCAGGCTTTTTAGCCACTAGAAAGGATGGATGCTTTCTATTTTTCCTTAAAGTCCTGTCCTCACACCAGAGCTTTATAGCAACTCTCCTTCCAGCTCATGGGGTTAGTCTAGAGTGCACAACATGGGACCGATGGAACCTCCTGGCAATAAGATCTTGTCTCATGTTGCCAGACACTGTCACATCGGTTTGCTCCTTTTGGAAATGTGAAGAGCTCCATCCTAATGGTAATTATTACTTCTGCCTTGTTAGCTTTTSTGAAAGTACTTTTAAAATAATGAATCTTGTTATTTAGAAATACTCTGATTTTTAGCTTAAGTGCATTGATGGGTAGCTCATACCTGTTTGTTCTTGAAGAAAACGCCTGCGATGCRCTTAGCCTTGGTGAGGCAAGTTTTCACACAGAGTCCCTGGCATTGCTTCGCTCTCAGATTCGCACCAGCTCCCCGGGCAAGGACGGGTGCGCTGGCTGTGCGAAGGGACGGGGTTTCGGTACCGGCGGGAGCTCGGCACCGGGGTGTGGTACAGTGCGAACGTGGCTTGCGGGCGGGTGCACAAGGCATCCGCGGGGCGAAGGCGCCGGGGGTGGCTCGGTGCGGGAGCTCTGGCCACGGCGTGTCTGCGTGACCGGGGACACGGGCGGAGGGGCTGGCTGCGCTCGGCGGGTACGGCGCTGCGTCCGGGTGTTTTGGGGAAGGGGCTA